CCGGCCTGCGTGTAGACCCACAAGCAGCAGGGAGGCAGAGGAGGCCCGCTCAGGTGGAGGACGGGCATTGGGTGCTGTGCTTCGGGAACCCCCTGGCCGCCCCCACCTAAGACACGGGTGTGTGTGTTCCTATGACCGCATCCCACCCCTCCCTTGCTCACATGCTGGAAGGAGCTGGATCAGTGTCACTTTGGAGGGACCAGCGGCCCGGCACCTTTCTCAGTATCCGGCCAGTGGATGAGACTGAACCATTTCAGGACCCGGGAACAAACCCTTAGAGCCTGATGAGGCCTTCGTGTCCCCACAGGCCCCTCCTCATGCTCTCCTGGTTCCTGGAGACGGGCGGGCCCGGAACAATACTCCTAGGACCTAGGGGGTCTCCGTGTCAGAGTTCCTTTGCGGTTCTTCACAAAAATGTGTGGGCTGGAGACCGCCTGCTGTGCTCAGCCAGAAGCCCTTCGCCCATCTGCTCTGCTCGGCTGTGTCTTCCTCCCGTTTAGTGTCCTCGGTGCCCACTGGGCGGCTGTGGCCGCGTCTGCCAGGTAACACATGACTGAGACTGGAACCTGACAGTGTGTCTGATGTTTTGGATTCCAGGTGAATGATCCGGACGCAGAACTCTGGGTGGTGAGTATGAGCTGCTGTCCCGCATCTGAAAGCGCTGTGGACTGCAGCGAACACACAGTATTGTCCATTTGCCACCACCCCCCCACGTTGTGTACTTACAGACTAGAAATCAAATCCTTTGTAAGCTCTTTCCCCTACAATATCAGGGGGAAATGGGTCCGAGTGATAAGGTACGGGGTGTGTGAACTCAGAATTTCCCACAGACATCGGGGTCTTCCAGCAGTATTCCCTTTGAATGAAATGGTCCCTACTTCATCTTACTCATGAGGCATACTTATATCAAGAAGCACGCAGGTGAAAATAATAGAAAACCTGACAGCATCAGGTTATAAAAATACAGAATTTCTCATTGAAAAGAAGTGTAGAGGCTGCTACTTAACGGTCAACGGCATCATCAGGGGCCTGGGCTTTCTCTTTTGTCTGCTCCTCAATGTGTGCTCTAGCCTCTCATGTTTACAGAATGGCTGCTGCGGCTCCCACATCTCATCCCCAGACAAGAGCATCCCATGTAGGAAGCAGCAAGGCAAGAGCAAAAGGAGTGTTTGTCCTGTGCTTTCTGCCCTTCGATCCGGGAAGGCTATTTAGTTTGTACACACAAATATGGCTTATGGGCTGGGATCCATTCGGATTAGTCAGCATCTAGGCCTGTTGGTTGTTAAGTACTTTAAGCATCAGCTTGGCCCCTACACTTTCCATTTCAGTGCTGGAATGTGACCACCCTTTGCTGCCAAAAGGGGCTGGGAAAACAAGCAGGCTTTTCCATTCTTCCAGTGGCCAGGGGACAAGGGAGGCAGTATCAGGAATGACTGCCAAGGGACTCAATGACGATAGGCTGAGTTAAACTAGATATTGTAAAATAATATTATGATACCTTAGTTTAAAACATCCACCAACAGAAAAAGACTGTTAAGATGGGTTCTACTGAGTTATTATTTATACTGTGCATTGTTTTTACTTGTTACTAAAAACAACTATTTTTAGTCTCTCTGCCCTCCAAAAATATCTCATTCAAGATAGAGAAAATAATTTAAATAAGGATTGACATGGCACAATGGCCATGGGAAACAATTACTTAATTTTAAGGGTTATTTTGTTCACATGTTTGCAATATACTAAAATAAGATCTTACTTTACTCTGTTAGTCACAAAAACGTGATATATTTGAGTGCTCATTTTAAAAATCTCTGCCAAACATTTCTTACAGAAAGCACAAAGAAATACTGTACAGCCTGTGTGTGTTAAATTTCTCTCCCTCTCAGTGGCTAAGCCATGAGGTTTTGCAGAGTGGGGAACCAACCCCTCACTGCTCTAAGTGTGGTCTTTGGAACAGCAGCAGCACCTCCCCTGGGAGCTTATTAGAGAAGCAGAATCTTGGGTCCGACCCCAGAACTTAGAATCAGACCTACATTTTAATAAGATTTCCAGTAATTCACATGCACATTAAAGTAGGGGAAGCACTGGTCTAGCCCTCAGGAGCATGACTGCCCACCTGTGAGAGATGACCTGACTCCACATTGGCTAATACACCAGTAATCATTAAGGAGGGAGTAGGAAAGACAAACAGAATCAGTATAATCTAGACCAGCGGTTCTCAACCTTCCTAATGCTGCGACCCTTTAATACAGTTCCTTATGTTGTGGTGACCCCCAATTTCATTGTTACAAATTGAACATAATTAAAGCATAGTGATTAATCACAAAAACAATATGTAATTATATATGTGTTTTCCGATGGTCTTAGGTGACCCCTGTGAAAGGGTCGTTCGACCCCCAAAGGGGTCGCGACCCACAGGTTGAGAACTGCTGATCTAGATGCTCTCTCTCCAGGGTCAAGACAGACATGTTTTCAGTGTCAGCAAATCACTTAAAAACGTACAGCTCTGACAACTTCTAAATAAACTAAACGTTCTGATGTAAGGATCGCAATTAATGTAGTGAAGCAACTACGTTTCTGGGAAAACCCATGTTTTTATACACCCACCAGCTCCTTACTTGTCCTGGGAAAGACCACATTTCTTATACACCCACCATCTCCTTACTTGTCCTGGGAAAGACCACGTTTCTTATACACCCACCATCTCCTTACTTGCCCTCTTCCCGCAGCACACGTGCAGTAGCAGGTCTGGCCAGTCTGCTTGCTATGAATGAGGCTTGCAGATAGGGCCCCTTCAGGGCCAGTCTTCCAAACTCCAAACCAACTTATCATCAGTTTCTAAGATGAAGAGCCTGGTCTTGTTGGGCACATCTGATTGGCCGTTAGGAAACTTTCTGTGGACTCACTTGCAGAGATGGAATGTTGGGCTGGATGGTCCATGGTGCCAGACCCAGCAGGGCCACCTAGCTGATTATGGCTCCTCCTGCCCTACTTGTCAAAGAGCATTTTCTTTAATGCACATGGGGAAGGGCCATTTGGGCATGGATGTTGCTTGGGAGAGATTAGGAGGTCAGTGTGTCTTGAGACCCAGACTCTGCTCAATGCTAGAGCTCAAAAATGAATAAACCTTTCCTGGTATTGCCTACGATCTAGGACAGTGATGGCGAACCTATGACATGCGTGTCAGAGGTGACACGCGAACTCATTTTTTTGGTTGATTTTTCTTTGTTAAATGGCATTTAAATATATAAAATAAATATCAAAAATATAAATCTTTGTTTTACTATGGTTGCAAATATCAAAAAATTTCTATATGTGACACGGCACCAGAATTAAGTTAGGGTTTTTCAAAATGCTGACACACCGAGCTCAAAAGGTTCGCCATCACTGATCTAGGTGGAAGGGAGATAACATTACAACCTGACATGGTAAGTGCCATAAAAACAGAGGTTACTGCTGAAACCTACAGTAAATCGTGGACTGTGATGGCCACTGATGTCTTTCTTGACTTCAGTACTTCTGAACATCTATGTTGGACATACTTCTTAACCCACATGACTTCCTCTCTTTGTGCTTACAGGTTGTGTATATGATTCCTGCAGTGCTGACCTTGCTTGTTGGACTTAACCCTCTTGTCACAGGTATGAACCTTAGATTCTGAATAGCGATACTTAAAAAAATGCTTGTGAATGAATGAATGAAAAACAGAGGTTTTTCATATATTTATATTCCAAGTGGGTATACATGTAAAAATTCACTCAAAATAGCTGGTTTGTATTGCCCAAAGCAGCAGTTCTCAACCTGTGGGTCGTGACCCCTTTGGGGGTCGAACAACCCTTTCACAGGGGTCGCCTAAGACCATCAGAAAACACATATATAATTACATATTGTTTTTGTGATTAATCACTATGCTTTAATTATGTTCAATTTGTAACAATGAAAATACATCCTGCATATCAGATATTTACATTACGATTCATAACAGTAGCAAAATTACAGTTATAAAGTACAATGAAAATAATTTTATGGTTGGGGGTCACCACAACATGAGGAACTATATTAAAGGGTCGCGGCATTAGGAAGGTTGAGAACCACTGGCCCAAAGGGTACCTTCCTCAATTATGGGCAAAATGTAGCTGCTTTGCCTTTGTTAAAAATTATATATATTTTTATTGATTCCAGAGAGGAAGGGAAAGAGAGAGATAGAAACATCAATGATGAGAATCATTGATCAGCTGCCTCCTGCACACCCCCCACTGGGGATCGAGCCCAAAACCTGGGCATGTGCCCTTGACCGGAATTGAACCTGGGACCTTTCAGTCCGCAGGCCAATGCTCTATCCACTGAGCCAAACTGGCTAGGGCTGCTTTGCCTTTTATGGCCCTAAAACGCTCAACAAACCTTAAGTTGGACAATTTTATACTATAAAGCAGTGCCTTAGAAAAAATACATTATTTACTATCATTTTCTTATTAATGGGGAATATTATCCTGCAAGTTATTCTTTACTTTCTTTAAAACAGCTTCTGCTAGTAGGGCTTGGAAGTTGTCAGGGCCTCAGAATAAAGACTGGTGGGGAAAACTCCTGTCCCCAGGTACATGGGCTCCTTGTATAGGCCCCTAGGGCTCTGTCTATATCTTTAAAGTGTGTTAGGGCTCCAGTCATTGCAAGCAAGGAAAACAACTAAACTCAAATGGGCTCCAAGCTAAAAAGTAGATGTACTGGGATACTTTACTGACAAGGCAAAGGGTGCTGGCTTCAGGCACTGGGCTCAGAATTTAAACTTCTCTACTCTCAGTTCCATCGATTGCACTGACTTCAGTCTTGAGCTCCACGTGGTAGCCGACAGCGCCAAGTTCACGTCTTCACTACACTAAGTCCCACAGAAGATAGAACCACCTTCCCTGATGTCGTCACTGGATTCTCAAGAATTAAGTTGTTGGCCCTGATTTGTCATCTGTTGATTCTGAGCTAAACTTCTGTCACTAACAAATGAAACACATTGATTGACCTAGCTTAGGTCCACGTGGCCGGGAGTGTGGGAAGGGTGGATTTTCAAGGAAAAGAAGGGCAGTCATCACAGGAAAAGGAGTGCTGGACAACAAAAATAATAAATGCCCACCTAAGTTTATAATTATGGCTTTAACTTCCATGATGTCCCTCAAAACCAAACCAAACCAAACCCAGCCTTTCCCGAGTGCTTTGTCTGAAAGCAGACAACAGCGAAGCACACACAGACCATTTTTCTCTGGAAGGTGATTCCGTGATTTGCTTTCAGGTAACCTCATTTGGAAGAGTGTCTCCGCAGTACACGTGTTCTTTTGCGTGGTGTGGGCTGCCAGCTTGGCATACCACCTCATGCTTCATGCACAGTGGAATGTCTTACACGAGGAAGAAGGCAGGTGAGCACTGACCTTTGCTCTCTGGGAGAGGTGGGAAGGAGGAAATCTGATCCTTCTCAACACCTTATCTGTGCATGTCTCCACCTACACCATGAAAAGCAGGGACGGGGTCATCGCCATTACAAGCTGAAGAAACTGAAGAAATAATGGAACCAGCACTCACACGCAGCACCATCTAGCCCACCCTGTGATCACTTCCCCAGGCAGCACCGCATATTACATTACCGTCAGGCAGTGGACCTTGGCCCCTTACAATAAGCAAAGATAACAGTCCAGTCTAATCAGGTGAAAACTCCCATCAGCACTGATTCAGTTCTGGGCCAAGCCAGAATCTTATCTACAAGTGTGATCAGCCACCTCAGAGGTCAGCCTGGTTCAGCTTGGCCCCGGCATATCTCCTGTCATCTCCCTCATCTCCCTGTCACGGACATTCATTCTTTTTTTTTTATTATTTAATATATTTTATTGATTTTTTTACAGAGAGGAAGGGAGAGGAATAGAGAGTTAGAAACATCGATGAGAGAGAAACATCGATCAGCTGCCTCCTGCACAGCCCCTACTGGGGATGTGCCCGCAACCAAGGTACATGCCCTTGACCAGAATCGAACCTGGGCCCCTTCAGTCCGCAGGCCGATGCTCTATCCACTGAGCCAAACCGGTTAGGGTAACGGACATTCATTCTTATCTGCTCTCCCTTTGCTGCCTCCCACCCTTGACATCCTGGCCTAATAGCCGGGTTGCTTTACGTTTTATCCCATTGCTAACATCTGCAATACGAAGATTTAGAGACCTTTGAGTATCACTGGTGAGGTACTGCTATGTTATAGGTCCTAGTCCTTGGAAAGCTGGATCAGGTTGGGTCAATGGGAATGTAAACCAAATGCGTTGAATCACCTCCACCCACTTGATGCCTACAAGGTATGGCGAACTCAAAGTGGGGCTTCCAGTGGTACTGTGGCCAAACACAATTATTTTCTATTCTATGAAAAAAATAAGTGCTTTTAACATATTTCTAGCATTAGTCGGGCTCACTAAAAATCATTTATCTTCATGAAGATGTGGCCTGATCTCTGCAACATGTGCTCAAACCATTTGTGCTCAACCTAACACCCAGCACTCTAAGACAATGTAAAAAGAATACCTGATCAAGTTGAAATTTTCTTGGTTGTAGTCTTCTGCCCAGTGACATGAAGTGATTTAGCTGTGTTTCTGTTTTATTGGTTTTGTTGTTGTTGTTCTCTTCTATGTTGGGGAACAGTCATGGAGTTCATATCTGCTTTATAAAATGGAATTTATTTTTACATAGGGATTTAACGGAGAAAAAAGTAATTTTTAAATCATACCAGACTTGAAAAATATTCTATAGATGCTATATCTTGGGGGAAGCCATTCAATAATCAGAAATCATGTGTCATGGAGATAATGGGGTGATATGCATCTCCCTTGCGGCCATGTCACAAAGATGAAATGTATGCTATTTTATAGGGAGCTGTTTGGTCTGGTGATTATCGCAACATGGATGAGTCTATGCCACAGTTCATCAAAGTAAGTTTTCAAATCAGATGTGTTCAAGGTTGATCAGTTCAAGTAGGTTAGTGAGAATATTGAAACACAAATAAACACAGTAATCTTTTGAAATAAAAATGTCCTTCCCTAAGGAAAACTAATAGTTGAGTCAAAGTTTCATGATCATTAATCATGAATACCAGTTTCCTACATGGCCCAGTGTAATCATATGGAGTTGCCAGCATAAAGGTGTTCTTCAGGAAGAAGGAAAAATGATCTCAGAGGGAATCTTGGAAATTTAGGAAAGAATGAAGAGCAAATTTTAAAAAAGTGTGAGTATATATAAATGAATATTAACTTTATAAAACAATAATAATGATATTTTGTGGGCTTAAACATATAAAGAATAAAAATGCATGACAAGCATAGCATATGTTAGAAGGGGATAAATGAAGGTACTGTGTTCTAAGATCCTTAAATTATCTAGGAAGTAGTACCAATTTATATTAGACTTTGATAAGTCAAGAATTCATGTGGTAATCCTTAGGGTAACCACTAGAAGAAAAAAAATGATTATAGAGGTCAGGAAAAGAGAAGGGAAAAGGATAGAACAGATGGGAAAATAGGAAGCAGATGTTTAGAGAAACCCAAGTATATGAGAAGTCACATTAAATGTAAATGTTCCAAATATTCCAATTAAGAGTTCAAGATTTTCAAAGTGGATAAAAAGATTAAAAACCCACTAAACACTGCTTATAAAATTCACCCGTTAAGTATATAGATACAGAAAGATTGAAAGTCAAAAGATGGAAAAAATACACTATCCAAATACCAATCAAATGAAAGTTAGTACATCAATTTTAAAAGTAGACTTTAAGGGCAGCATTACAGAAAAAGGACTTTTTGCTGATTAAAATTTTTATTTTATTTTAAAATATTCAAACATATACAAAATCAGAGAGATTAATAAACATAGTGAATTAGATGTACCTATCAACTAGCTTAAACGATTTTTTTTAAATTAAATCTTTATTGTTCAGATTACATTTGTTCCTCTTTTTTTTCCCCCATAGCTCCCCTCCTCCCAGTTCCCGCCGTCCAGTTTCTTCCCGCATCTCCCATTCCCCTTTCCCCCCCAAGAATAGTCAGTCCATTCCCTTTCTATGTCCCTGATTCATTATAATCACCAGTTCATTCTGTACATCAGATTATTTATTCACTTGGTTCTTAGATTCACTTGTTGATAGATGCATGTTTGTTGTTCACAATTTGTATCTTTACCTTTTTCTTCTTCCTCTTCTTAAAGGATACCTTTCAGCATTTCGTATAATACTGGTTTAGTGGTGATGAACTCCTTTAGCTTTTCCTTATCTGTGAAGCTCTTTATCTGACCTTCAATTCTGAATGATAGCTTTGCTGGATAAAGTAATCTTGGTTGTAGGTTCTTGGTATTCATCACTTTGAATATTTCTTGCCATTCCCTTCTGGCCTGCCAAGTTTCTGTTGAGAAATCAGCTGACAGTCGTATGGGTATTCCCTTGTAGGTAATTGAGTCTCTTTCTCTTGCTGCTTTTAAGATTCTCTCTTTGTCTTTTGCTCTTGGCATTTTAATTATGATGTGTCTTGGTGTGGTCCTCTTTGGATTCCTTTTGTTTGGGGTTCTCTGCGCTTCTTGGACCTGTAAGTCCATTTCTTTCACCAGGTGGGGGAAGTTTTCTGCCATTATTTCTTCAAATAGGTTTTCAATATCTTGCTGTCTCTCATCTTCTGGCACCCCTATTATTCTGATGTTGGTACGCTTGAAGCTGTCCCAGAGGCTCCTTACACTATCTTCGTATTTTCGGATTCTTTTTTCATTTTGCTTTTCCGGTTGGGTGTTTTTTGCTTCTTCGCATTTCAAATCTTTGACTTGATTCTTGCGCTCCTCTGGTCTGCTATTGGGTGTCTGTATAATATTCTTTATTTCAGTCCGTGTATGCTTAATTTCTAGTTGGTTCTTTATCATAGCATCGAGGGTCTCATTAGTTTTCGTGACTCTCTCCTCAAGTTTATTGACAGCTTCTAGCACATTTTTGCAAGCCCTCAAAATTGCGATTTTTAGCTCTATATCCTCCATTTCTGTCATGTTTTTTTGTCTCCGCATTTTTTATGCTTTCTTGGTGCACCCCCTAGTGGTCTTTGTGCGCAGTCTTGTTCTAGTTGAGCCTTGATTGTTGTAGTTAATACTAGAGGGATTTGACCACCAGGCCGACTGGCTGTGTGAATCAGCTGTGTCTGCCGCGGAAAACTTCTGTCCTCTGGGGAGGTGCTAATCTAGCCTTTGCCTGAGGCGATCCGGCAAATGGCTCTGCGCAGGGCTTGGGCGGGGCGGGCTCAACAGGGCGGGCGGAGGGAGCCGTTATGGTGCCCTCAGTCCTGTTCCCAGAGGCTCTGCTTCTCAGAACCCCCGGAACCGCTGCAAACCTCGGAGGGAAAGCTGCCTTCCAACTGATGCCAGACACTCCCGCTTCTCCCGTTTGGGTCCGAGTCCCCAGCGATTCGCCCGTATCTGGAGCTCAGAGTCTGAGACTCCCCCCTGACCGAAAACGACAACCGCGCTCTCAGCCACCAGCCCGCTTTGCGCGCGCACCTCCGCACCTGAGTTTTTTCCACACTGCGCCTCCTCTGAGCCTCGGTGTGCTGTTATTTTTCCTTCTAGTTGAAGAATCTCTCCTCAGCCAGCCTTCCTGTGGTTCTGGGTGATGTCCGTTCCGTCTTTTAGTTGTATTTTTGAAGTGGTTGTTTGCGGCAGCAAACTCTGGTGTTTACCTATGCCGCCATCTTGGTTTCCTCTCAAACGATTTTCAATATATGTCCAGTCTTGTTTCATCTATATCACTGTCCTCTCCACACTTACCTTGAAATAAATGAGACATATTGTTTTATCTGTAAATATTTCAGTATGTATCCTTAAAAGCACTTAAAAAAATAACCACTCTACCATCATCACACGCAAAAATTAAAAAAATAATTCTTCAAAACTGAGTTTTCCATTCAATGTTTATATTTCCCCAACTGTCCTGTAAATGCCTGCTCCTCTGTGCTCTATATTTCCAATAAATTGGTGATTAGATCTAGAGGCCTGGCCAGATTCTGGTATTATTACTATTACTACTAAGCAAAACTACTTCATAGGTGGTATTATGTACTTCCATCATAATATACATAATGCCTAGCTGTTTCTTTGTAATGTTAATAGTCTTTGTGATTATTGCCTAAGCCCATTAATTCGAGTTGCAAATACTGCTATTCTAATTATACCATTCCTTGATTATTAGTTGGAAAACTTCTATAAAGAGAAACTTCCACTTATCAATTCTTTGAGATATAGCTCATAAGAGGAAAAGGAAAAAAAGGAATTCTTAATTTACCAGTTATCAAAATAATGAGTCTTTCATGCCTGAGCATCTTCCAATAGTGACCAATGTTCTGTTAGTAGTGTTATTATAAAGTCATGGGTTTCAACATAGTTTATGTTTTTTCAGTCCATGGAAGTTATCAAGTTATTGATGCTTTAGCTGTCCATCTTCAACCAGTGGCACTTATTCAGGTTTGGATCCTGAGTTCTTTTTGACATAATCATAGTAATTTTTGCTTTTTGGTATGACAAAATGTTCCAAGATAATGTACATTTTAAGCCCCAGACCTGGAACCAACCATTTTAAGCCCCAGACCTGGAATCAACCATTTTCCAAAAAAGCCCTGGTTATTTTTGGTAGGTAATGGTATTTAGAGGTCACAATCCAGGCATAAGCAGTGCTTGTTGCTACTGGATTGGTCGATTGTTCTATTTAGTGGACAGAGCTAGGAAATTCTCATCTATGTGTAATGTATATATATTATACATATAAAGATAATCTATAATAATAAAAGCATAATATGCAAATCAACCGAATGACTGAATAGCAGAACGACGGTCCAGACAACCCTCTGGATAACCACGCTATGACATGCACTGGTGCCAGGCTTGCCAAGGCAGGTGCAATGCGATTGGTCAGGGGGCCCTGCCATAGCCCCACGATCGCCCCGCAGAGTGAGGCGTAGGACGCTGGCAGGGTAATCGATGGCGGGGTGGCGGGGGAGCTCCATGATCACCCCAAAGAGGGAGGCACAGGCTGCCCTCTGCGTGTTGATCAATCTTGGAGCCCTGACCAGGTGGGTGGAGCCTCCCTCTGCTGGGCGATTGATCGTGGAGCAGAGGCCCAGGCCACGCAGCCTAGGCTACCTGGCCCTGGGCTGGCGGTGCTGCAGCGGGTGGGCGGGGACTCCCTCTGAGCGGTGATCAATCTGGGGACCCCGCAGAGGGAGGCCCAGGCCACCCGGCCGGTATCCACAGGGGGAGACCCAGGCCAGCCAAGCAATCGCACCCCATGCCTGTCACCACAGAGGAAGGCAATGGATGGCGGGGGAGAGGGGACATCACCACACAGATGGCAAGCAGTGGCAGCCATGGGGGCAGGTCCAGCTGCCGGCAGCCGGGGGAAGGAAAGCCCCGATAGGCCCTGATTGCTGGCCAGGCCTAGGGACCCTACCTGAAGGGTCCCGGATTGTGAGAGGGCGCAGGCAGGGCTGAGGGACACTCCCCCGCCCCACTACACACACACCCCTGTGCACGAATTTTGTGCACAGGGCCTCTAGTTTTACATATATACTTAAAAATATCTTATGTGTTCCTACTAATCCCAGCAATTCAAATTCAAGAACACAGATTTTCATTTAACCTCATCAGCAATCTTACATCTATATTTCCTTTTAATCATGTCAAAAATCTCATCTCAACTAAAATACAGAAAAACTTCCTGAATAATCAATGGAAAAATTGCAGGAGAGAACCCTGACACCTGAGGACCGAAAGAGGAGATTGCATAGAGACTATTCTAAAAAAAAAAAAAAAATCTCATCTCAATATCCTCAACATAACTCATTTGACTTAACCCACAATACAAACACAACCTCAGAATAACAATATGATTACTAAAGATTTTTTTGGAGTATTTTTG